AGTCGATTACAATTTTTAATCTAATTAATTACAGGGTGCTGCGGTTAATTAATCTAAAGGTATTTTGAATTATCCATCATGTTTATCCATCAGTGTCAGTAAATGATACAAGTGTTTCAGTTAAAACAACCAAGAATGTTTGTCCAGATACTATCCAGGAATGAAAGGCATGTTAATGCCATTTGTAAAAGGGGCCAAAAAGGACTTTAAATAGTAAGCTCGAGTGGAGCTGACTTCACACCTTTACAAAATATGACCTTAGAACCACTTTGTTTGGAAGTAATTGCAAAATGAATGCTTACAAAAGTGAAGGTAGTTCTGAGAAAAGGTCGAGCATCCTTTGTTGCCACACGGCGTTTGCTAGGCTATTCACTTGTTTTTTTAAATGTATCTTACAGTTCGAAAATGAGAAATAAAAGAGTCTGACCGAGTCAGTTCAATGTTAAATGTACGCAAAAATTATTGCCGTGAAAAGAGGCAAAAGAAGTCATCGTGCAGGCCGCCCGGATCTCAACTCTGAGTATCTGTAACAACTTGTGTCCATAACAGTCTTCAAAGGAGCCAATGAAAAATAAACCTGGTGAGAGGTTTTTTTTGTTAAGAGACTGAAAACGCCATAAGGTGAAGGGATTGTGAGCGAGCCGATGAATGGTATTGACTGATGTCTGTAAATCAAGTCTTTGATGGCCGCTATCAGAGCTCAGGACACAGTGAGTGGACTAGCTGTGCGGATAGACTGCTTTAGAAAGTCTGACCACCGCTACAGCTGGACAATACGGTTAAGACACACAGTCTGTATCGATTTGTCCCTCTTTTAGACAATATAGCTACAGTTGCCATTAGCGACGACGTCCACACTCATCTGTTTCCTGGGTTAAAGGGCAGCCGGGACAACAGGCTGTACATACTGGTGTCATTAGCCATGTCACTCACTGACTTTGTGACCTGAGTAATGATGGCAGCCATATACATTGGCCTATTCTTAAACAAACGTTGATGGAAGTTCTACAGTTGATCGTATCTCGCTAAACTATTCAGGAATAGGCAGTCCAAACAAAAGACTTTGAGTTTTGAGAGTCATGTATCTAATCTGCTTTTCCACCGGCCACAGCATTTGTCTAGAACTCGGATGGACTTGAACAAAGAGAGAATGGGACACCGATGAATGGCAAAGGGCCTTTTATTTCAAAGCTTTTCTGTTTTAACTTGACAAGGCTACTTTGGTCTAAATACCATTCCCGTTAGGAAGAGGAACGCTGCTCTTTTCTTTTTCCGGCGCTGCCTCCAGCCATCCCTGGGATCATCGATCAATACCTCTGGATTACAGGGGGGATTAGGGACTACAATGGTCTCCGATTTTGGTAATCTGCCTTTTTTCTTCCACTTTTTTTTTTTAGGAAAATGGATAAATGCGTGGCAATTTGAGAACAAAGTATCGGCACTCAGCTTTCTGTACAGAGCACACAACAATAGAACACAATCCTCTTTGGAATTAATATTTAATGGTTTTGACTGGTTGTCTACAGCGAGAGTATCGTGCTGTTTAGTCTTTTTTGCCTCCGCTTCCGCTCGACTTTAGAGATAGAAAGAGAACGGATGAGGTGAAATTCGAGGCGCGTGACGAAGGGGGCAGAATCTGTGAAAGAGAGGAAATGGAACCCTATATTCTGCTGTTTTATTTCAACATTTAATTTCCTGCTGTTCTGACATGGCAAGAGACAAAGAAAGCAAAGATGTTTAGATTGAGCTTCTGTCTGTCGACTCATGTGTCACGAGGGTTTAATGCTTGTACTCCAGAGGCGGTTCGAGACACCTGGAGGACCCCTAGAAAGCATTGACGTCTACCACCTCTCCCCTGATCTTTAATTAAGGAAGGATGCCTTAGTTATAATGTTGGTGTGTGTCAGTGTGAGTGTGTGTGTTTCCAGGCCATTAGGGGAATGTTTAGGCAGAAGGCAGGATGCATTCTCTGTTGATCAGTTCCCTGAGGGCTGCAAAGGAATCTGGGAAAAGCATTACACTGAAGACTACCTTAGGCCCTCTGGGATTAAACACACTTATTAGGCGTTCATTTCGAAGATGATGATAATTAGGTTCATCATGGTCTTCATCACCATCATCATTATTCCTACCTTAAATCAATATTTTCTTCAATCAATTCCACTGGCAATCAGCTAAACAGCAAGTCAGTAAACATTAGAGATGCACAATCTATTGGTACCATATTCGTTATAGACATTTTTGGTGTATTGTGTTGCAGTCAGGTAAATACATGCAGTGCTAGGACACCTAACACCTCTAGTGATGGTGACTAATGAGGTGCTGTGTTTGTGTGTGTTTTGAACTATGCCTTCAAGAATATGTCACTGGTGTTGTGCACATGTATGACATATAGGCCACCAGTCAATCCAGGTGTAAAGGGTTGCCCATTTAACCTCATGTCTTTCTCGGAAATATACACAGAGGACTGACTTGTCAAGTGATTTCACAAAGCCTTATAGGTTAAGTCTATATATTAAGTCTATATACTCTTACTGAATGCATTAAGTCAAAAGACATTTATAATGTCATATATTTCTATTTATCAAAGAATCCTGAAGATTTATCACAGTTTCCACAAAAATATTATTAAGCAACTGCTTTACTTTGATAATAATATATATATAAAAAAAATAATTATTGAGAACCAAATATAATAGACTAATAAAACATTATTGAGAACCAAATATAATAGGCTAATAATTTCAACATTTAATTTCCTGCTGTTCTGACATGGCAAGAGACAAAGAAAGCAAAGATGTTTAGATTGAGCTTCTGTCTGTCGACTCATGTGTCACGAGGGTTTAATGCTTGTACTCCAGAGGCGGTTCGAGACACCTGGAGGACCCCTAGAAAGCATTGACGTCTACCACCTCTCCCCTGATCTTTAATTAAGGAAGGATGCCTTAGTTATAATGTTGGTGTGTGTCAGTGTGAGTGTGTGTGTTTCCAGGCCATTAGGGGAATGTTTAGGCAGAAGGCAGGATGCATTCTCAGTTGATCAGTTCCCTGAGGGCTGCAAAGAAATCTGGGAAAAACATTACACTGAAGACTATTTTAGGCACTCTGGGATTAAACACACTTATTAGGCGTTCGTTTCGATGATGTTGATAATTAGGTTAATCATGATCTTCATCACCATCATCATTATTCTTACCTTAAATCAATATTTTCTGAAATCAATTCCACTGGCAATCAGCTAAACAGCAAGTCAGTAAACATTAGAGATGCACAATCTATTGGTACCATATTCGTTATAGACATTTTTCCCTTTCTTTCTCTTTTTATTTATTTATTTATTTATTTTTAATGCCACATATTATAAAATATTGGATAAAATAAACATTGGATTTTTAATTTCCATTTTTTTTTTGATTACCTACCTCATCATGGCACATTTTACTTGTAGTGTTTAAAATGACTGATTTTATTTTTATTTTTTTATTTAGACAAATTTTAATATCAAACATTTATTGGTTCCTCTTCAGGAACTCGAGCTGCGTCGAAAACGCTAGGGGAACGCCCTTCAGCGTGACGGGCTCTGAACCTCGTGTGTAATCAGACCAATAGATGGGCGAGACGTCACGGCGGGTGACGTAATGACCAGGAGGCTATAAAAGCACGTGCGGTGAGACCAGCGTCAGCTTTTTGTCATTCAGCAAGCGCTCAGTGTGTGTGTCAGTCTGATATCTGTTTGTGAGTCTTATTTAGTGTTGTCTGTCAAAACGAAATCTCAAGACAAAACCAGACACTAAGGCGAGGGCAGGCAGCGTTCACCGGGTTCTACAGCCGGTACTTCATAGTTCCGAAGAAGGATCTGCGTCAGAAGGGTTGCGTCCAATTTTAGATCTACGTCAGTTGAACCGCTCAGTCATGCGACTGAAGTTCAGGATGCTTACTATCAAGCAGGTCGTGTCTCAGATCAGGTCCGAGGACTGGTTTGTCACGATCGATCTAAAGGACGCATACTTCCATGTATCCATCCTTCCCACTCACAGGAAGTTCCTGAGGTTTGCTTTCGGGGGCAAAGCGTACCAATATTGGGTTCTTCCGTTCGGTCTGGCACTCTCACCCCACACTTTCACCAAGTGTGTGGATGCTGCTCTGGCTCCTCTGCGACTCCAGGGCATCCCCATACTCAACTACATCGACGATTGGTTGATATTAGCTCATTCAGAGCAGGTAGCGGTTTGCTTTTATAGCCTCCTGGTCATTACGTCACCCGCCGTGACGTCTCGCCCATCTATTGGTCTGATTACACACGAGGTTCAGAGCCCGTCACGCTGAAGGGCGTTCCCCTAGCGTTTTCGACGCAGCGTCTCGTTCCCTCGAGGAACTAGGGTTACATACGTAACCTGAGGCGTTTCTGTCATAACACTGTTAAAAGTATAATATTTCATAATGAAAAAACTAATTAAAATGATAAATAATAAAATAAATATTGGCTTATTAAGATAAATATTGACTCATTGGTTTACGGCGGCATTTTAATGTTTTAACATTTTTAATAAGTACTGCATCCCCATTAAAATACTGAGCATTAAAATTGGTGATACATTCACAATTCGTGATATCTGTGTTCATAAGGGACTTTTATTATTTCCAGTACATCGCAGAGTTGTAGGGCACGATTTTCCAACCTTTTGACTGACAGCTCTGGTGCGCAGATGGATAGGTGTGTTCCCTTGTTAATGGTGTCCGTCTTGTTCCAGAGCGCACTGTGTGAGGAGCTGAGACGACCAGTAGAAGAGAGAGATAGAGCGAGTAAAGAAAAAAGAAAATAAAAGGGGGAAAAAAAGGGTGGAAAACAGGACTGATACACGTACGAGCTCACAGAGCCATGAGAGGGGGAGTGGAAAGAAGGTTAGAAAGAGAAAGAGAGTGAGCGAGCGAGAGAGAGGGGTACCATGGGAATAGAAAACTGAATCAGAAAGGTAACCATGTGCAGCGGTTCCATGCGCCGGCAGCTGAATCTGCCTCAACACAAAGTGCTGATGATCAGCAGAGCCAGAGCAGGGACAGAGAGAAAAAGGGGACATGAGAATGAAAGCAAAATGAGTCGTGGAGAAAGTCAATGAATGAAGAGAGATTTGCTGTTTAAAGCAATACCATACCAAATTTAAAGGCAATTTTCCTTTACACTCTTAAAAATATAGGTTCCAAAAGGGGTTTTTCACAGCGATGCCATAGAAGAACCAGTTTTTGTTCCCCAAAGAACCTTTCAGTGAACAGCTCTAAAAGAACCATTTGTTCTTAGTGTGAAGAACATTTTAATAATCTAAAGATCCTTTTTTTCCACTGTAAAGAACCTTTTGTGGAATGAAAAGTTTCCATGGATGGTAAAGGTTCTTTGTGGATCCATTGATGTCAATGAAGAACCTTTATTTTTAAGAGTGTATTTCAAACCCATAATCAACCAAGACACATATAAAGAAGTTTCCACAGAGTGCTACTTTGCGAAACGTTATTTATAGAACATTCTTACCATGTTATTCACAGACCAGATGGTATTAGAGAATACACGAAGAACAGTTCATTCAGTTCTTTCTCTATTGTATCACTTAAATCAGACACTTTGCCAGGTAGCCTTTTTTCCTGACCCATTGAGGCCCTTGAATGTTAGACATTGCGTCTATCACTCTCAGTTACAAAGATGACAGCCTCTTCCATTCTTTCGTTTCATCGCTTCCTTTCTTTCTCCCTTGTGAGTGTATGTGTATGACTCAAAGATGGTGCGTGAGAATCACAGCTATGAAATGGGCTCCTACTAAGGACCCTTTGTGCATTAATTAGGCTCAGTGTGTGTTCGCGCGTGCGCTGTGAGAAAAGCAGCTTTGTTTTGGCGTCAGGAGTCATGAAGATTTGAGTCATGGTCACGGAGGTTGTATAGATTGTGACGATCAGAGCTAGATAAAAAAGTTTGGTCGTCTCTCGGGTTTAATTGGCAAGATTAATTAGGTCTGTATGAAAGTAATTATTCATCGGGTATTGACATGTGTTTGTTCTTTAGTACAGTAATTGGGCAAGTCAGAGACAAATTGCCCTTTCGAGACCTCCAAAGTCTGACCGAAGTACAACTTTTGGATTTACCTCGGTGAATGATAATTTGATTGCAACTTAGTGATGCCAAGTTTGCGTCTGAGGAACATATGCCTTTCATTTGCTATATTTACATAAATTATCAGCATGCACGCATAGGTGAACATACAGTTATGCTTATGAGTTAAAAACTTTTCTCATTAGTTCACAAACCCCTTAGCCTTTTTTTTTTTTTCAAATAATGTGAAATCATAAAAAAACACTTTTTTTCAGTACTGCCCCGAAGAAGCTGTAGAGCTCAAATTAAATACATACAGAGACAAAACAATAACTGAATTTACACAAATTATCCTGTTCAAAATTTACACACCCCTTGGTTGATAATATTGTTGCCTCCTCGAGCATCAGTGTCAATTTGCAGCCTTTCGTGATGTTTTGTATGTTTTATATGAGTCCCTCAGGTGTCCCGAGTTGCAAATCTGTTGAGACACTGTGTAGAGAAGCTCAAATATGCAAATCATGCTGGGAAACCAAAGAACATACGGTACAGTTTTGAATGAACTCGGGTGCACTCAGATGGGCTTGTACTCAAACTTGACACAGACTCAGACATTTTGGACTTGAAAGTACAGTCAAATCCATGTCATGTGTAACATGGAACATAAAAAAATAGGTAACAACATCAAATTAAGATAAGACAATAGAAAAAAACGTCCCATTCAAACTCACTAGGGGTGATAGCTGTTGTAGCCCTAAAAGTGCAATGTTTGCAAAATTTTTTTTTTCTGACAACATTGTTTCTTTAAAAAAAAAAAATAAATAAAAAAATAAAGATAAAACATAATGCAGATTTGGCAAATGGCATGCAAACTTCACTGTATATGCATTAAACTAAAAGCAACAGAAGTACTTCATGTTTAAAATGTATTTCCGCCCTTCCTGGCCACCCGTAAACTCCGAGCATCCTCTGCTCACCCAGAGCTAACTCTAGCAACAAAAGAGGTTCATTTCCCTCTGGGTCTGTACACGATTTAGTGCACTACGTGTCAGACGGTATCCTTCCATGTCACTTCTCTCCTAATGCTAATTCACCCGATTGCTCTCGGAATTACTTAGTCAAACTTATTGCTGGAGACAGACCTGTTAATTCCAATTCATTTCATTCTATGGAGAGAGAGGTGAAAGTGCAACATGAGAGATAGAGCGAGAAAAGAGACAGCGTCGGAGATGGACTCACCCCAGTCAAACTCTGGGCTCTTAGGGCTCTTTGTCAGCATGCACAGTCAGTTAGAGCTGATGCAGTATTCATGGGGCAGAAAGGAAAGAATGGTGGAGGTGGGGGCGGTTAGACCCTGAATTACGTTGAATAAAAATAAAAATGAGTACATTGGTATTCAGAATGTGGCCTGAGCTAACATGCCCCCCCCCCATTCCTTTGCTTGCTTGCAGCAGGGGAACTACAAGCTAACTGTTGCGTGATAAGGTATTATCTAATGGGGAGGGTGATGCACTAGGCATCTGCCACAAAATGGAGTCAATCAATTGAACAGGGATAGTAATGCTGGCTTTCTGCGCTGCGCGAGAGGGAGTAACAGAATAGTGAGATGAAAGAAAGAAGCAGAAGGGAGAGTACGGGGGGTTTGGCTAGGGCCGCAAGACCACTCGACAAAAGAAGAGAGGAAAGGAGGGAACAGGAGGAGATGTCGGGGCCTGGGCGGACGTACCGTAATTGTTGGCGCAGAGACGCTCGCAAGATATTTGCTCATTCGTTACCAGCCCGACACATATTTGCTGATGCTCGACCCATTACCTCAGGCCAGCCGGAGCAGGAGACAGCATTCTAATTCAGGGGGCATAACAGGTCCTTATAAATAAATAAACAGAGGAAACTGGCTCCATTATTGCGCTTGATGGGTTTTACATCTCAAATGCGCTTTTGTTCGTCCAGTAGCTTTGTGCTTAGTCTCGTTAAAAAAGTGCATGTGATTGGGTACAGAATAGTTATGTGTCGTATTTTTTTTCTCAAGGAAGCAATTTAGTATATGAGGAGAAAGTCAGGCATCTTGGTGGATGCCCGCTGTGGGGTCCTTCTGTCAGTGTGAAATATTGCTGATTGGAGCACACATGCGGTGGGAAGGAGTGAGGAATGAATCAATCTTAGTGGGGGTCCTAAAATCATCTGACTCTTTTCTTGTGAGGGGAAGGCTGACACACAGTAATGGAATTGAAAGGACTTTAGATTTATACAGAAACTATATACACTGCATAAAACAGGATTTTTTTATTTTCTTTTCAGCAAAGAATATTTTAAGATTTTTAAAATGAGATAAACTGACTTGAGAGGCAAAATTGCATCAGATAATATCATACTTGTTTTCTTGTTTTAAGCAGAAATATAATAAACTTTAGAGAGGTTTATGCTTTAACGAGCTAAACACTATTTGCTAAATTAAATGAACTTAGAAGTATTCTCTGAAAATAAGTAAAAATATATATTTTCAAAAAAAGTATATTATGTTTAGATGTTTTAACTAGAAAGCAACACACAAATACACTAAAAATATCTAAATGTTTTTAATTAAAAAAAACATTTACTTGAAGCAAAATTACAAGATATAATGTGTTGTTTTCTAAGAAAAAATTATCTAAATTAAGTAAGTTTTTGCTTAAAGAGAGTGTACAAGAGATGAGCTATGATAAATTAACTGTTTTCTTTTTGAGTTAAATTTTTTTTTCTCACCTCATTGGTGATATTATGTAAATGTATCTTGATTTAATAATTTGTAGATATTTACACTGAAAAAAAAGAGACCAAAATAACAAGAATAAAATAACTTTTGCAATGCACTGATTCAGGAAATAATTCCTTCATGCTGTTTCCTTGTTTTTGCAGTGCATAAGATTATTACCAGAAAAATATAGAATAAAGCTACTTTTGAAAACAAGAACTTATAAGACAATTTATTGTGGTTTATATCTGGTCATCACAGATTTAATAGGAAGTCAAGTTTCATCATGCATGCAGTCATACACAAATTAAACCTTCCTCACATTCTCTGATCTCTGACACAATTAAGTTCTTTATTTTCATTGATCATGTCACACGTTACACCTGTGATCAGTTCGCAAAGGGCCACTATTGGCTCACACCTGCTCCATCTTCTTTGAACCCCAGCTTGCGCTTTTTAGCCAATAATTGGCGGGCGATCGATAACACACCGTGATGAACGCTAAGGTGATGTGATCACACGCTCTTCATGCGTTATAAAGATCAATAAAAACAATAACCATCCCCCATTCATGATCTCACCATGCTTAGTCCCCCATATGCACCCTCACGGAGCTTTTCCATCAAAGCGCTATTACCCAAAGAGCAACAGTTGGATGGTGGGAGAGAAAGGAGAAAAAAAAAGGAGCGAGAAAGTGAGAGAAGGGGTGAGGGAGAGAGAAATGCAATTTCACCCCCGACTACGGCAAGCTATAGACGGAAACAGTTTACAGATGAAAGTAATTTCATTTCATTTGCTCTCCATAAAAAGAGGGGCAATGCTGATATATTCTTGCAGACAGATGCACAGCGGCGCAGCTGAGACAGAAATAGCTTCTCCTGTTGGCGGATGAGAGTCAGTGGCTTTCCTCAGTTTGACAATAAAGGCGAATGCGCTGTATTGCGGTGCGATCCAGAAAGGATGGTATTTAGGATGGTATTTTTGTGGCGTCTTTGAGGGATTCGCGGGCTCGCCGGAGAACTGCCCTCAGTCAACAGAGAGCACCCATGTCACCTTTACGCTGGCCTAGACATGGCTGCGTGTGATGAGGTGACATTCACGAACGACCCTTATGGTCAGCTCTTTGAATATTTAGTGCTAGCCTGAGCCGTAGTAACATTAAAGCTGATTCCTATATAGATTGAAGCCAAATCGCTCAGATGTTCAGCTTTAAAGTCATGAATTGCATACGCAATATATTTTGCTTCAGTAAATTGATGTATTTTTGAGTGAAACAGTTTAGTTTGACTAGAGAAAATCTTGGTAGAAAATACCATTTTGCTAAAGTCAATCAAAACAGCGTTTTTTACACATATATATATATATATATATATATATATATATATATATAATTGCAAATATATTAAACATAAAGATAAATAAAAATGCATTTATAGACTGCTGTTTAAAAGTTTGGGTTCAGTATAATTTTTAATAGTATTAATAATTGTTTTATTCAGTAAGGATGCATTAAACTGATAATGTTACAAAAGCTTTTTGTTATTATTTCAAATAAATGCTTTTCTTTAAAATGCTTTTTTTCATTTAAAAAAAACACTGTTTGCAAACATTGATAATAGAAAAGTTTTATAATATAAATCTGCTGTTAGAATGATTTTTGAAAGATCATGTGGCACTGTACACTGGAGTAATTTATGTATATTTAATATAACAATATTTTTTACTGTATAGTTAAAAATATTACATAAAATGTAACACTTTTTTAAGGTCCAATTCTCGCCATTTACAAACCATTAACTATGACTTTTGCCTCGATAGACTTCTAATTTGCTGCTTATTAATAGTTTGTAAGGCAGTTGTAAAGTGTATGTATTGGGTAGGATTAGGGATGTAGGATATGGTCATGCAGAATATGTGATTCACTAATAAACAGCCAGCATGTTAATAATAGGCATGCTAATAAGCAACTAGGTAATAGTGAGAATTGGTCCCTATACTAAAGTGTTACTCAAATATAATTTAACTGTATTTCTTTGAAATAACATGTGGCGATGGATTGTTCACAATAAGACCAGGAATGTACATTAAAAAAGCAACCAGAGTCCATTTTGATTTCAGGTTGTCTTTAATAAGTCAGTTGTAGCAAACACTGGTAACCATACAGGCATGTTACTACACAAGGAAATTACCCTTCAACCCCATCTCTCTCTCTCTCTCTTTCTTGCTGGTGACAAAACTCGCTCGCTCACACTATGAACAGTCAGGCCATTTCCTGTGAAAAGAAGCTGCTGGGATATTTGTAGCCATCATTGATCGAAGCTGGATGTAATACCCATGATGCATTGCTGTTTAAATTAGGAGAGAGTGTGGGAGTGTTAGAGAAAGTAAGAGACAGAGTAGAAAGTATGAGGAGTTTTCAAGGACGATGCGGGATGTTTTCCATACAATCAGCAAGACAAGAATGAGAGAAAGCTTTTTTTTTTATTCTTTCTGATAAAGAAACAAGAAATTGAATTAGCAATTCAGATTCACATATTCAGCCTGCTATGTAATTTTCAGTATTTTTTTTAAATCCTATTCTTGTTCCTAGAAAACAAAAGGCACGTGTTGTAATCCATTGAGCCATATACATACTGTGAAAAAAAAATACATACTTACATTTACTGTGAACAAAACAGTAGTGATTATCAATCTTTTTTTTTACAACCTCCTCACAGAAACCTCAGATTAACAAAGAAACAACTAATAGTAGCAGAGACTATAGTATGATGTATTATTGCAATTTTTTTTCAATCTCCATACTTTTATCCCAGCTGAATATGCAGATACAATTATGTGTAAGCCATCTGTTTCACAAAAAGTTGTAAACATTGTGGCTCTGTAACCAGGGTTATTATTAACTAAAACTAGCCATTAACCATTGAACATAAACATAAATATGTTCAATGGTTGACATAAAGTTGAAATACAATAATATATAAATATTAGATGAAAACTATGTAAACAATTAGAAATGCTGTATTGGCAACTAACTGAAAAAAAGTTTAAGTTGAAGCACTAAAGTAACTGGAAATGAACTTTAATACTGTACTAAAACTGAAATAAATGCAAACAAACAAATAAATAAATAAAGCTAATCCAAATTTTGATAAAAACTTCAATAGTGTAAAAATAAACTTTCTGAGGCACATGACATCTTGACCAGTCCAACACAGCACATTGGCTCAAACAAGTAGTGCAAGTTTGGGACGGAACAATTTGTCTTGCAGACGAGTGTCAAGTTCCGGTAAATTATTTTGCGTCATTAGTGACACAAATTCAGAATTTTAAAATGGGCATTTTCCCCATAGTAAAAATTTAAAATGGGCATTTCTCCCTCAGTGTCCTATCCAGACCTATAATCGTCTTTATAGTACAACAAAATATATTACCTAGATAAAACGGAGACACTTGTCCCCCAGGACCGACTGCTAATTTAAGTGCAGCTGACTATTATGTTGATCAGATTTAGGCACTAATCTCTTTCTAAGGCTTTGATACAATTAATGCATATTAAACCAGATTGGGAGCCAATTTACCATTATACTAATCAGTTATGTTCGTGTAAGATCAGAGTGGTAGGCCTGAGGCAGGACAGGGTTTAATGGTCATGTTTTCTTGATGCTCATATTTCTAGGGGCACATACCTCCCATTGTCCGTTAAAAAAAAATTAAAATAAATCTAATTTATTTGCCTTTACTTTGAATGTTGACATGAACAGCGACAAAAGGCAGACTTCATCTACATAGTGAAAGGTTCAAAAGGGCTCCTCTTTTAGAGCACTGTGTGTATGTGTGTGGGAGAGTGCCTTATGATGGACGGCTTTAGTTAAGTCCTTGAGGGTGAAGCGACAAGGATTTATCTGTGTTGTGTCTGATAGGCGGCATGTGAAGCGGGCACTAATGTGGCATATTTATGGGGCAACTCTGTTCGATTATCATCTGTAGGGGAGGCCACAGGGCAGAATTTGCTCTTCCCTCAGTAAACACCAACTCTTAGTGAAGAGAGAGAGGGCTTGCCCCACAACTACTGCAAATTCTAAAATCAAGTCATGTTTTTAAACCATTATGAGTCAGATAGGATGGTTGCAGTCTTATGTTTTTCTTTTGTTTTATTTACGCATTCATACCCCACTTTTCAACTTAAATGCTTGCTGTGTAGGTGGTTTGTAAGATAAAACATAAATTGGTCCAGACTTGTTGTAACTAATATAAGACAGGAGCTATTACTTTGCTATGACTTACAGCTCAAAGCTTGCCACAAAACTACACACGCCAGTGAGAACCCTTTGGCAAGCGTTCCGTTAACCAGTGAGCAACATTGACAGAACATTCTCAGAGTGCTCTCTCTTGAATAAGTACCTACGCACACCTGTCACATCTGTGGCGCAAAGACGTCAATAAATCTCGCCACTAATGCATGCAGGAAATCTCGAGCTTGTCCAATATTAATGATAGCTGGCTTGGCTTTGCTGTACCTGTACACCTCTTCCAGACACTCTAAGTGGAAAAAGCTTTCTCAGCTAATGGTACAGTAATGCAGAATAAAGTCTTTTCAGTCTCCCACTTTTACCATACTTTACTGCGGAAATTCTTTAAAATGCCCTATAATC